TAAGTTTGAATCGATTGGTCTTCAATTGTTTAAAGTTGTTATCGCTATTCTATTTCGTGTAGCAAAATGAAATTTCGAACTCTTTATTGCATTGCCACCAATTTCAATTTTCCCAGCGTTAATTACCAACAATGCGATCTGAAGAATGTCATATCATCAGTTAAAACCAGAAGATAGGTATTTTCAATCTCGTTTCAGTAAAAATAATTGGTTTCAGAGTTTATAAGTCCATAGACTTTCTATTAATCTCGTCTATTACGGAAACTTGTGGAGTTCGTTTGTATTACATCCCTAGGAGTAATATCCATCACTTTCATTTTATATCCGTAATGACTTAAAACTATACCTATAAAATTTGTACCTTTTATAGCTTTTGGTTTTGCTATATTCCAACGCAGAGGCTAAGGCCAAGCGATCATTAATTTATTTATTTCAAATGGCAGGCATTTTGATAGCTATCATTAGTCCTTTAGTTGACATCGGGCTTCACAGAAGGGAGGAACATTAAAGTGAGAAAAATTCGACAGGGGTAAAGAAGAGGAATTCACAGATGTAACAGACAGACAGACAGATACAAAGGCAGAGAAAAGGCTAGATGAGTACTGTGAAAGGGGCATACAGTGATGTGAGTACTGTGAAAGGGGTCGAATATGACATACAGTGGCGTTAAGGAAGTTTGAAGTCAGAGACTTTTGCCGTATGAGTATACGTTGCCCAGGGTGCACCACGTGGAGGTAAGTCTATCGCACACCCCGTCATGCGATCATTTTAGGCCAATTAGCTGTCGCCATCAAACTGCCTACTGTCTACCCATACTATTTTCAGCACGTGGTATTTCCGATCTGAAGGCTCAAATATATATGTCATTTCTGTTTTTTAAATGTTTTTACTTATATTTTAAAGTGATTGAAATTATTTGTATTTGCAGGTATTTATGGGACTTGACTTAAAAAATTAAAAGTCTTGACTTCAATTTAATTCTTTTATTTTGTAAACTGTTTGCATTTGCATTGCCTTGATAAAAAAGGAACAATGCAACAAAAACACGTTATAAGTGTCATTGTAAAGTAAAGTTTCTACTAATATTTTTAAGTAGTATGTACAAGCGGAATTGGGATTGGAGGCAGATTGTCACTGCAATTATCGATAAGTTGCGTTAATAGCAATACTTTATGCCCCTTAAAATAGCCATACATTATGAGTAAAATTGAAGGTTCATTTTAAGTGAGATGGGAGGATGCACGTAAATGTCTTTCGAAAAATTTCACGATCACATGGGGTTTAAAGGGGCGTTTAAAAATTGAATTGTGGCCAGTTTGTATTTTTACATGTACTCATTGAAGGAGTAACCCTTAATCGCTAAGCCAATAAGAATTAGCCTGAATGGTCAAGTCGTATTCTAAGTCGACTCCTATTTGTTGTTCTTGGTTGATGAAAGTTTGAAAGCGGGTTTAGAATACGCAGTAATTTTAACTGGGAGGTCCAATGCCAATTCTTATCGATTTTACTTGTAAAATACAACATCATGACATTTAATGTTCGGAAATGAAGTTTAGGCGTAATCGTTTGCCATTGGAATCCTATATAGCCTAATTGAGTACCACTACATCGGCGCACACACAAACAATTGACGAAAACGAATTCAAGTGGTTGTTTTGAAGGTGTTTGGTGGGAAAGTTGAAAATTGGATACTGTGCCATTAAAATGAATTCTACTTCACTTTCATCGACTCACTATTACGACTGAAAGGCGCTAAAAATTGAAAATAAAATGTTTGTTTGTGAATGAATGCGAAATTAGAAGTACCAAGTTAGATCAATCTCAACTGGCTCAAAGATGATCTACAAACTAGAATTATGTAAAAAGGAAGTGGATGAGCATTTTGAGAAGGGTTTGAAAAGGATCACAAAATGAGGAGGCAAGTGGTAGTTTTGTCTTGATGTTCTAGCGTATCTTTTATATTCCCACATTCTCGTTGGCACTCACAAAATGCTCACTCTTAAAAGGCGACACATCTTTCACTCCCAGAGTTTGAATATTTTCTCGTGTTTGTACTTTTCACTAAGAACAATTTTACGAGATGTATAAATTCTCTCCTTTTCATATAATTTTTAATATTATTGATGTTGATCGTGAAATAAAGTTGAATCAGAGGATCATCGTCAATCCCTATCCAAGAGAAATTTTTTTGTAATTTTAGACGATTGCTTCCAATAAATCCCTAACTAATTAAATCATAAATCGAGTACTAATACCCGTAAAGCTGTACTTTAAATGGGAACAAATTTGGAAGGAATAAGAAATGATGTAAATCTCGTCAAGGTCAGAGTAAAAAGTTAGTCATAAAGTGTCACCGCATGTTACATACACCAAAGGCTGTATCGATAGCGTAATCTCTCGCATGAAGGAATAGTATGATCACGTGATTAAACGTTTAGCAATTTTGAAGTCAAAAGTGTGTGGTGGATACCAAACAAATAGGCCTTGACTAGTTCTCAACAAGCTTTCCTAGCAAAATCCGCCAGATCTAAAATTGACACTGAACTGTTTCAAGGAAATAGAATGTATGGCGCGAATGGTCATCATTTCAGCCTATGACCACTGACAACTTTTCGTCATCAATGAAATGAGGACTGCGCAACGATGTAGCAACACTTGGCTGCTGTTAGCTGAGAGACCTCTAATAACTCTAATAACACACATCTCCTCCCCCCATGATCAGTAGGAGGGTTACACCTTCCAGACGGTTTGAAAACTCATTAGGTTCTTTTGACAAACCCTGTCAACATTGTGCTCTCCATAGATATGTAAGAAAAATGCAAGTATCGTTACTCAAGCTAACGCCCTTTAAAATGAATGAAACTGTTATTCCACTTGAAGTGTTTACGCATGTAGTACTTAGAGGAATCCTTTATGAATTTCTGAATTATAACACTGGAAACACTTAGTGACAAGTTAGTTTCAACATCCAATACTAACTTCAATAATGAGATATATTAAATAGTCCTCACCAGATTCATGGTAGATTTCAATAATTGATAAATTAAATAATAAGTGTTTGACGTTAATTAATTTGCTAATTTTCTGTTCCGAAGAGAACAAAATGACAATAGACAAATAGGGGTACATTCGAAAAGTTTTTTCACAAAAGACGTTAATTCGTCATGAAAACTACCAATACGTCATCAAAAGAATCAACTTACTTACACATAGCGTACGCTGTTTTGCCTATTGACATGATATGACATCGATAGTACTTTGTAAATAGGTATCAGAGTAGAAAAGTGAAATCAATGAAGTAGGAACTTCGAGGAATTTATTGAAAGCCACATTCACCATTGCGATGGCATAATTATTGATGAATTGAAATTTAAACCTCAATGTAAAGACAATCATTAATTTATTTTATTTATTTCAAATGGCGGGCTTTATGATACTTATCATTAGCCCTTTAGCTGACACTGGGCTTCATAGACAGGAGGAGAAACATCAAAGTGGCAAAAAGACGATAGGGGGACAGAATAATGATTCACAGATTTAAAGTAGACAGACAGATACAAAGGCGGAGAATAGGTAAGATGATTACTGTGGAAGGGGTCGAATATGACACAATCAGTAGGGCCAAGGTAGTTTGAAGTGAGAAGTCAACTCCCGCATGATTATACGTTGCCCAGGGTGCACCACGTGGAGGTAAGTCTATCGCACACCCCGTAAATGCAATCATATCACAACTTTATGAATTGGTTTGAGTATGAAGACACAAAAAAGCGTTAAGAAAGAAAATTTTCCATTTAAATCCAAAACCTTCTAACACTTGCATTTCAAACTTAATTTCGTCAATGAAGTATCACTATATCGAATTCAAATAAATGAAATTTGCATGCTGATGGCACAGTTTAAATTTAAGACCGCTGCTTCTCTAACCCTCCCCCCCCCCTAAATTGCATTACTTAAAGGGAAAAAAATAGGAAGGAATGCCAAAAAACTTAACTCTTATCAAGGTCAAAGTAAAAAAATTAGTCATAAAATAGCACCACACATTAAAATCTCTGAAGGCACATTCGATAAATTAATCCCTCATATGAAAGGATAGTGTGATAATGTGAAAAAACACAATACATCACATTGATATCTGAGACGTCATGTGATGGGGTTGAAAAGTAAAAAAGTTGATTTCATTTTCATTGGTTGGGGGAAATAAGACGCCTTTATATTCCCACACAAATTGAAAATTTTGAAGTTAAACAATCGCCTAATGGAGGATAAAACAGAAGAACGTAGAAATTGTTGCCAAACCCTGGGGAAAGCCTTTAGATACGAATTTAAGTGTCGAAATCTGGGATTCAGTGGAGCTAACTATGAATTCTTCCCATTTGCTCAAGTACGTTCTGAAATTATTTGTTTTCAATTATCAATTTGCACTCTCAGTATTCAAACTTACCGCAGGAAACTCAGAATGACACTTGGCTTTTAGTTCAAGCAAATGTGATTGATTTTCAGATAATGAATAGATCTAGTAAAGGAAAACAATTATAATAATTATAATTATTCTTCATTATATTTCCACTCACGAAAGCCAACTTTAAGTGATATAGGCATTAATGTTTGCTGTCAACAGTCATTGCTATTAAGCAGAGAATGAGATGATTTCAAATGAAGTTAAGCTTATTTTAATTTTTCCATTTATGTGGAAACTCGATTCGGAACTATGAGATGGTATTAAATAGAGGAGTTTTTTGAGACGAAGGGACCTATTATTTTATGGTTTGGAAGTTAGTGAAGTCGTGAAAAGTTGTTACTCCACCACATGTCTCCTGTTAGCCTGATCAATTTAGATAGTAGATTTTGAACTTGACATGACCCTTAAAGCATTGGCTTTATGTTTTCTTGAATTAAGTACTGGAAGTAAGTGAATTGCAGAGATATAAGTCTATTTTAAGAGAACTAACACCAAATAAATTGATTATTTCCAACTGAACATAAGGAAATAAACTAGACAATTGTTTAACCTGAGTGTGGATTATGTTGTCGTTAAAAACAGAATTTTGTAAAATTTGGACTTTATTCTCAATTCTCATGGCACATTCATAAAACAAATATTCCCAAGGTCATGTAGTAATGAGTTAGGGGTAATGGATTTGGAAAGAGAAAAGTCGTTTAGAATATCTTCCCATATACTAGAAAGAATTAGCATGTGGGAGGCCAATCTCACACAACAACAAAAAACGTATCAAAAATCCTGTTCGTTGACCAATGAGGTGCAAGATATTCAAATTATTTTATTGAAGTTTTAAATGTGTAAATTTATAAAGACGGAGTCCATTAAAACAATGGAACAGGCTTAATTAAATTGCTGTGTTGTTATTTGATTAAAATAAGCATTAGTTTGAAGTTTCGAATGTGTTTATTTAAAAGACAGTACCCATTAAAACAATGGAACAGGTACAACAAAAAAGTTGTGTTGTTATAATGTTAAGAAAGGGATGGGAGACATAGTTCATGCAATTCGAGGTACTTGATTCCACACGTCTCCTCTAGTTTGAATAATAAGTTATCATTGAGGGGGGCATTCTGTTTTGTTGCTTTTAGTCATCCTTACCTTTTTTTCGACTTACGCCATGGGAATGTGGGTGCTGGAATTCCACGTTGATTTTTGCACTGGTTCGATCTATACTGCGTGCTTCCACAAACAACTTCATCTACATTTGAAATCCCGATTCGATTTAATTGCTTGTTTATTGAATTTTCTTTTTCTTCTTCAGTGGATGTGGATGGATAAGTTCTTCTATCCAATCTTCCGATTCATCATTGCCATCGGGCTGTTAGCTTGGGCTTGCGTGGAAATTGTGGAGGAAATTGAGCAAAGGATAGATACGCACACAAAGAGCAAATACTTCCTCTATGCCACAAATTGGGCGTTTCTCACATACACTTTCAGCTCCAATGTCTTCGCAATATTCTGCACGTTTTACAATTGCAAGAAAGGTGAAGTTACTTGTTTTTAATTTAATAATCTCTTTTTTGAATTTATAATAAAGTCAATTTATGTATCTGCGTTTTACAAATGTGGTCAGTTATTATTTACCATATTCGGACTAAAATATAAATTTGTCAAGAAATTTAAAACGATCTGAAAACTTTGTTGGTCATTGAAAAACAGCATCTACTGCCATTTTGAATGAATATTTCAAGTTGAGAATATCTCTGCACGCATGTCTACACCTGATCAATACGTGCTCGATTTCGCGGCCACAATTTCCAGAATATTCTAGTGCACGAGAGCTTACTATGACAAGCCTTGTTAGCGTGGCACACCGCATAATTTAAATGTGCAAATTATAAATGATCGCTGCATTACCTTCTTCTCTGTGAATGCTTAGTTTCACGTTGCAATAATATTCATTAATTTTCACATTTTTATTTTGCATAGAGATATGAGCAAATTCACTGACCTAAATCTACACTGTTGAGTCAAATATTTTAAAACAGCCTGCTTTGATACTGAATTGATTAACATAAATGATCTCAAAATGTATTCAGTAATTTAAAATTTCAGATGCAACAGTTTCAAGGTGGATTAGTGAAATTCTCTGGTTCTTTTACGGCATGTCGATGAACACAGTCGTGGTCACATCTCTCGGTTACTGGGCTGCATTATGGGATCCAACATACAGTAAGTTTTTGTCTGAACCAGACTGACCGTAAATGGCAGCTAGATAAATATTCTATGCATGTCATTTCACCTCTTAGTGTAATGCTACACTAATAAACCTTGACTACACTCAGTTATCTCTAAGGCAGCTTCCTCTATGTTTGGAAAGACCCCCCCCCACACCTAGATAAGCTGCCTCATGTCACGTGGTACGCGTTTATTTTTTATATGTGAACGTAGTGCGTGCACCGTCAAAGAGCTTTGTCATTATATTAATATAGCGCGGTTTCGCTAAATTAAACAAATGCAACTTATTGATTATTGGCTGGTAGTTCACCGCGTCAACGACCCCACTTACTCCCTACTCGAGGATTCCGACCGCATCTTCGAGGCTTCCTAAGTACTCATGAGACCACTTTGTCCAGAAGTAACAAGATTTCGCGCTCCACAACCAATAATTACTATACCCTCTAGTTCATTGAGCTTATCACTTAAATTCTATCAAGATTGTCGAAGTTTTTAACTTTCGTTCAAGAATATAATGCTTAAATTACTTTCAATAAACCAGGAATTTAACAAAAAAACCAAATTTATCTTTTTATTAAACTAGAAATGAAATTAACTTTGAGAATGTGTTAGCTGCATATTTAACAATTTAGTTAATGCGTAATGTAAAAACCTTCCCTAACTAACTTCATCGATAATAATAAATTTCTATTTAATTAATCTTAATTTTATTTATAAGTGTCGTCCATATTAGCCTGTTTTATTAAAAAATTGTATTCATTGTTTAAAAGGGTGGCGAAATTTTTCTTAAATCGTATTAATCTTATTAGTAGAGTGCACTTTTAATTTTAACAAAGGGTTTTGTCATTTCAGTCAGTTTTCAGGAGTTACTGTTGGGATATGAAAGTGAATATTAAGTCAAAGTTAAACCATCATCTTCTTATTAAGTTTAATGAGAATGATTTTGTCATTGAAGTAGTCATTCATTTATTCGCACTAATATGCATTGGGTTGCTTTTAAAATGTGGAAAATTCCTTTTGTTTTAAGTAGTATACAATAAAATCTCTTGTCGTGCAAATGAATGGGGCAGGATGTACCCTCGGTAACATTAATATCTTAGCAAGAGTTAAATGACAGATGGCTTGAACTATGGCAAAATTTTATTGAAATGTTCTCACATTCTCCCTTGTCTTTTTTTGCGTAAGGTCAATAACAGCAGATGTCGATAGATTCCATGATTGACGAATGTTTGCTTTGTTGTCTAGTATTGGCAATTGCAATTCCCTTGTTGCTGAAATATGCTCAGTGGAATAAAAACAGTGCAGAATGTCACTTTAAAAATGACCCCATTTGTTTAAGTATTCAAGAACAAGTGGTTTATATAAATTGTAAGAGGGTGTTTCACAAAGAGTACATAGACAATCCTTCTCATTTTTTCATTTTGCTATTTCCAGTCCATGTGTGAGAAGGCATCTCTACGCCTAAAACTTTGTCACCGCCTGTTAAGTAGAAAATAGAAATATTATTTAATTATTTACACCAAATTATGTACTTTCTTCCCTGTTATAATTTAAGAACATGTAGTCATTAAAATAATAATTAAAACTAATGAGAAATCTTGTTCAGCACACATTTTGAATAAAGAACTGTCCAATCCTATTTTGTGACTGTTAGTTGGAGCTATGCCGGTTTCTTAAAATACCTTTAAGATAGCAATTAGTGTTTCTTTGATCATTTTTCATAGTAATATATTCTCCAATAAAAATTATATATTATTTAAAAGTATTATTAGAGCGTGTGGCTTCAAATCCGTTATATAAATTTATTGACTACCTATATTGGTTAGCACTGGGACACTAGAACAAATAAGTGTAATAGGTTAATTGACTTCCATAAACGAATAAATTTAATAGCATGAATCAAAATCTAAGCAACTATCAATATCATCTGTTTTTATTGAATTTAGATCGTTTCTACCAACCAGAATCGGAGTACAAACACTCAATTCCAGCCCTTACGGTAGTCTTAGATCTGTGGATAAATGGACTCCCAATTCGACTACTTCATGCTTTATATCCAATGATATTCGGTATACTTTATTCCACTTTCTCCTATCTATACTATGATGCCGGCAATGTTGACCCAATATATCCGATACTCGATTGGAGTCAACCTGCGAAGGCTGCTATTATCTGTTTGACGATCATCATCGTCGGTCTTTTTGTGCAGGTTGGTTTAACCATTCAAATCACAGTACAAGAAGCTGATTTCTAATAGGCTTGAATTCACTCTAATCATTACCCATAACTTTAAATTAAATCAGCAATAATTTCTACCAGCAAGTTAAGTGAGGTAGTGATCTTCACTTACATGAGTGAGATTTAATTATATGAAGTGGAAAGGTTAAGATTTGATTTACATTCAAATTCAATAAGTTTAAATCTTAAAAAATGCGTTTCTTATCGATTGGAGATATGATTTGACTTTTTTTAAGTAAATTGCTAATATCAACAAAAATTATAATCAAAGTGACAAGATGCAATTTAAAAAAAAATAATCATGTTTACACTACAAAAGTCTATCAGAATTATTTTTATTTATATAAATTGCAGTTGGGGTGTGCGATAGACTTACCTCCACGTGGTGCACCCTGGGCAACGTATACTCATGCGGCAAAAAAGTCTATAAATCGGCAGTTGACTTCGGAATTTAAACTACCATGACCCCATTGAATTTCATATTCGAATAATTCCACAGTATTCACCTCACCTTTTTTCTACCTTTCTGTCCGCCTGTCTCTTTTACGTCTGTGAATCATTATTCTTCCCCCTCTCGACTTTTTACCAGTTGGATGTTCCTCCTCCTCCCCTCTGTGAAGCCCGAAGTCAACTAAAGGGCTAATGATACCTATCATAATGCCTGCCATTTGAAATAAATATAAATGGCAGGCGTTCTGATAGTTATCATTAGCCCATTATTTGACTTCAGGCTTCACAGAGGGGAAGGAACATCAAAGTTGGAAAAAAGTCGAGAGGGGGGGGGAATAGAAGAGTGCTTCAAAGACGAAGGTAGAAAAGGAAAAATCAGTTACCATCAAGCCTCTATTAGTCAAATCGCCTAAAAATAGATCATCTTATCTCTAATTATCATTTTAAGTCCCCCCCCCACTACTACTGTTATCTCACACTTTAAAATAAGGGAGAGAAGGGATTTGAATAAATATAAAACAATTTGTCAATATTTAATGGAAGTGATCTCTACGCCATACCATTTTTGATGAAGTCTTCATTTGCCCTTCAACGGATAAATACCTGCTTATTTCAAAAGAAGTTGAATTCAAACATTCTTCTCAAGTAGCTTCATTGATATTGTTGGTCAATAAAAAGAATAAATTTTTAACTAGACGATGAATACCTATGCGGTATACTCACTTCACACAAGTATTACCAATCCATGTTCAATTTCAACTTCCTGGAATCTAGCGGAAAAAGTCAAGTTTTCTGTGTCTATGAGATCGACTGTCTCCAATAATTTGAGTTGTCTAGTGGCAGAATGATTTATGAATCATTGACCACTTTTAAGTTTGACAAATTCTACTAAATATTTCAAATGCTCTTCGTTTTAGTTCCTTCTCTACCTTCTCTATGTTGGTCGCATCACTCTGAGCGCACGCCTCAATGGACGAGGTAAAGTCGTTGAGGAGAGGTGGTGGAGTGAGAGTTCTCAAGCCACTCCCGTCAAAGAGGCCATCAGGGATATTGGAGCTATAAAATTTGCATAAATATTGAATACAGAAATATCCGGTGAGAATGGCAAACTTGACACTAGAAAGGATGACGAGGGCAAGAGAATGCCCTTCTCATTCTTTTCACAATTTCCCTCAATTTACATCCACCTTCCATATCTTCCCTCCAATATTCAATATATATTCATTTTCTGTAATCCTTGTGAAACTAACTGATGGTGGAAATAGGAGCACTTTTGGGTTAAATTGGTGTGGCATGTAGATAGACCAGTGAAATTGGAATGAAAAACTTCTTGATCAAGCGTAAGAAGAAGGCGAGAACTGGAAATGTGGAGGGAGGGAGGGCTGGAGGGAGGGAGGGAGGGGGGAAGGAAATTGGAATTTGAATAAAATTTGGGCTTAAGTGGGGTGTCAAAAACAACAGACACCCTTCATCTTTACAGAGCGATCTTTTCTACCTAATATCTNAGATAGACCAGTGAAATTGGAATGAAAAACTTCTTGATCAAGCGTAAGAAGAAGGCGAGAACTGGAAATGTGGAGGGAGGGAGGGCTGGAGGGAGGGAGGGAGGGGGGAAGGAAATTGGAATTTGAATAAAATTTGGGCTTAAGTGGGGTGTCAAAAACAACAGACACCCTTCATCTTTACAGAGCGATCTTTTCTACCTAATATCTGGTAATTACGTTTTCTTTATTCAATCAAATTAGCCACTTTTAACAATAAAATGGCAGTCCCAGATATCTCATCTCTGATACATTCAAATTGAATACAAGACGCTTAGCACCATGTAAGGTCTTTCAAATTCCTCATCCTCTGGAAAGATAGAGGTGAATTGAAGTGGCATGACCGACCTCAGTGCATAATGTGTCCGATGAAATCGCTGTGGAATGTGAAGCAGTGAGGTATTCAGGAAGGAAGTATTGAACAACCGGAATTAACTATGTTAAATTAAGAAAGAATCTTTTGATATGTTGAGATGATGTTCGAAAATGTTGTTCCATTCAAGTTCATTCCTAAATGTACTTTTCTGTCACCAATTTTGCCAATTTTCTCTTTATGGTAAATTATTACTAATTCTATATGTTGCGGCTTATAATTTAGTGAGAAGAAGTAAATTTATTCCCAATCTTAAACCCGAAATTTATCTTTTAATCGATATTGGTGTTTCTGCCAAATTTCGCAGTATGTACAGCCATTTCTTCATTTCATTTAAAAGCTTAAATTTCTACAATGATCTATCGAAGAACTCGAATGGATTATGAATGATGAGAGTTATTGGTCAATATTATCGTTCGTAATAAAATTGGACATTTTCATGAAAAGAGCAATCGCCATCGTTCAAATTTATGGAGCAATACTACTCTAACTTCGAATGATACATCGATTTAATTTTAATTTTTCAATAGCTTATGGTTGTCAGCTAAATCACAAAATATATCATCATTACTTTTCGGTTTTAAGCCAGTCCTTTCTTTAATAATTTATTGAAATACCGAATGATTATGAGAAATCGATTTATTGACAACGACCTTGACATTACACTTAAGAAGTCCTGTCGGTTTAGGTTAGCCAATAAGATCGAAATAATATTACATCCTAAGCACCTACCGTTATGCAAACCTGGGTTTAGCAAAGAAGGAAATTCAAATCTACCAATTTTGAGACTGTTTTTGTTATTAAAACATCAAAGCAAGGGAATCGTTTTCAGCTATAACTTAAGGAAACTTATTGAAGTTCAGAATGTAACATTTTGACGTTTATAGCAATTCAACCTAGGGTTTGAATTAAATGCTTCTTCTTGTGGTTCTTGAACCCAGAGTATACAGGTCACTACCCAACACCCTATGCTGGAAATCAGCTGATGAGAGTTGCTCATTGCGATATCACAAAGTTGACTCTCCCCTT